AGTTATGTTAATGTATTTTCCATAATTATTTGGCATTCTTAACAAAAATAATTAACTTTATAATTACAATTACCCAACCAAATGTAGAAATGTTGCCAATTATAGTCATTGCATATCATCTATATTTAGCAATAAATTTCATCAACTCCCTCTTTATATATATATAGATATAGATTTCCCGAATGCGATGAGCCTACGTACTACTTCTGGTGTTTCGGAATCCTATTTGGCGAATAATCATGCTTCATAATTTGGTTTTGGACAAATAAAATTGATATATTAATAATTAATAATTTAGTTTCGGATATTCTATATATATTATTTAGCTAACTTAGGTATTTTAATGTCACTTGTACTAATATAACCCTTTAATTCTTTGTAATTTTACATAGTGAGGCACTAAGTGACTAATATATCCCTGACTTTTGATTTGCTTCCTTCAATTAGCTATTGATTGTAAATGTATTTTAAAAGTTAGATAATTTTTGTATTTCTTATCGGTTTCACATATATAATATATCAAATTAATCATTTTTTGACGATCTTTGATTTGACATCCATGTTGTATATATGAAATAAATAAATTATGTATATATTGTTATAATAATAAAAAATAATAATATTTATTAAAATTTATTAAAAATAAAATTATTTCTCAGTTGATATATTTATGTTTAATGTAGTTATATGTTGTACATTAAAATATTATTATAATATAACACAGGTAAGTCACACAAATAAAAAGTGTCATACTAAATATATAATAATATATATTTTTTTATAAAATTTATTTAAATTTTTAACTACTTTTTCTCATTAATTTTAGATTTTAAGAAAAAAAATAGCAAACACCTGTGTAATACACGGGCGTTGTACTAGTTATATCCACTGTTCTAAAAATCGGCCTAGGCGCCCGCCTAGGCGGCGCCTAGGCGCTAGGCGGTGCCCGGGCGCCTCCGATTTGCACAAATCGGCAGAAAAAATCGGCCAGGCGGCTAGGCGGCGCCTAGGCGGGCCTAGGCGGCCCTAGGCGCTCCTAGGCGGCCTTGGCGGGCTCGGCGGGCTTGGCGGCCTTGCGGTTAAGCGGCGCCTAGGCGGGCTCGACGGCAATTTTTCAGTTTTTTTTATTTTTTTTTAATTTTTTTGAAATATTAATTACATTATTTGTTCTCATGTTTTCTTTAAAATATATTAATTTGATTATTGGGACTTAAGTGTGTCGATATATTATAAGTTGAGATAATTTTATTTTGTAGGTAGTTAAAATAAATAAAAAATAAGGTACTTAATATTGATTTCTAGGCTCCGACTAGGCGCCGCCTAGGCCCCGCCTAGTCGCTCTAGGCGCTAGGCGCTGGTCGAGCGCCTAGCGGGCGTCTAGCGACTTTTAGAACATTGGTTATATCTTATTTAAATAGAATGAGTCTCCACAGTCAAATTAATAACATCTAACATATGATATATGATAAAATTAATTACATGCATCGTCATACTTTTTTAAAATATATATAATAAATATAGGATATTTTTCGTAGCATTAAAATTTGTAATTCGGATATGAAAACATATTTTTAGAAGTGTAAAATTGTATTATTTCAGTGTTGGATTAAACAACATTGATTGGTTTAATTTTATTTAGAGCAGAAGACGTAATATGTAATTATATATACCATAAATTAAATGATAGATAACTAAATCAATTACGAAGAAGTTGGTACTCTGATTTATTGATAAACAATATTTATAAATTATAAATATGGAGTCAATGTGTAATATAATATGTTAATTTGTTGTAATATCATTTGAAAATTAACTTTGTAAAAACACCGTAAAACATGTCGATATAAAATATTAAAAGCATATAAAATATTGTATAACATGTGTAGAAATATGTAAATTATTATATAAATGTGTAAAATATTTAAAATATTCTATATTATTCTAAAAAATGTGTGAAATCACCTAAATAGCTTTCAAATAAAAAAGAGAGAGATTATTTTCAATGAGAAAAAAAAATTAAAGGGCTAGTCCAAAAATGGACCTACGAATAACAACAATAATAATAAATAAATAAATAAATGCATGAATAGTGTAACTTTTGGGAAATGTTACAGTCCCCGTCAAGATTTGTAACCATTAGATTATCCTGTGTCGTGAATAGTTGATATAATGGCTACAAACCCGACGAAATGATTCCGTAACAAGACCACAGAATCTACGTAGCTTT